GTCGAGATTTTCGCACATAAACGGATATTTCGTTTTTCTTCTTGACGACTACTATTGGAGCGGCCCATTCTGAGTGTTCTACTGCAAAAATCACTCCTCGGCAACCAACTCGATTTCTGCCTCCAGTTTCGGTGCGCTTACGTATGGAACTGGTCGCTTTTTCTTGAAGACTGAAACTACATGGTCCTTCAAGAATAGCTTTGCCTTGCTCTTCGTGCATTTTCAATCCGAACTTGAAGACTTCTGTATACTTCTTCCCAAGTCTGCGACGACCTCCGCTCACTCTTCTTCTCGAGTTACCTTCCGGCAATGATACTTGTTCTTTGACTCCTTGTAGGCCAGCAATGGATGCACCACTCCTTCCTCGTGCCTTCAGTGATGTAGCAAACTCCATTTTCTTGGATCTTCTTTCCTGTGACACGATCTCTAACGGAGAAGTCGGTGGAAAATTTACCATCGATCTCCATCGGCGTCTTGGCTGCCGTTTCCACAGGTATGATGCAACGTTCCAGTGTAGATAATCCGATTCTCCTCCAGGTTTGCCGTGATCAAAGCCATATTAGCGCCTATGCAGCTAAAAGCGCAAGAAACATCTCTTAATAACGACGTCATACCTCCTTGCATTATCGGCGTCAAACGACAACGTTTTTGCACTGTCTCCTGTGACCATAGGGTGGATCCCTGTTCTGCGTCGCTTCTTTTGATTAGCGAAGGCGGAGAGTGGACATTTGCTTCTTAAATGTGGACCTCCACAGCTGAAGCAATTTACCTTTTTCTTCCATACAGCATGGATGTCGTGTGTTCCTTCCATGACCGTGTTGTCTAATTTCAACGCGGTGAGATTCTCACATTCGCTAACCATATTTTCGATTGTCAGCGGAGAGTCATCTGCATGCGAGTCCAGTCGGCAAATCATCCTAGAGCGAACTTCCCACAGTGTGAGATCTTGAAGACCAGCTACAAATTGTAATGTCTTCATCGCCTTATAGTAGTCCCTTAGATCGCGCGTCCTCGCCCATACGCTTGATTGTGTTGACGTGCTCCCGGAACGACAACACAATCATACGTTGGTTTCAGAGGCGGATAAGCGTCTAAGGCAGTAATACCTTCCTATCAATGTCTTCTTTGAAGCAAAGAGCTTCTGGAGATCCGCGACCGTCGTATCAAAATCCAGTTCATTTGATTACATAGGTAGGACTTCATCTGCACTTCCAATATGCGTTCTTATCCAGCTTCATCAGGACAATCGCCCTTCTTGTTGTCTGGCAACAAAGCGTCGCGTATGACCGGTCCGTA